CACCAGGACACCAGCCGGTCCACCTCCCTCCTGTAGGAGACACCAGGACACCAGCCGGTCCACCTCCCTCCTGTAGGAGACACCAGGACACCAGCCGGTCCACCTCCTCCTGTAGGAGACACCAGGACACCAGCCGGTCCACCTCCCTCCTGTAGGAGACACCAGGACACCAGCCGGTCCACCTCCCTTCTGTAGGAGACACCAGGACACCAGCCGGTCCACCTCCCTCCTGTAGGAGACACCAGGACACCAGCCGGTCCACCTCCCTCCTGTAGGAGACACCAGGACACCAGTCCTGTAAAGAAAACTATACATACATTCAACAATTTCTTTTTAGATATTTACATATTCAATTGTTTTTGTTTTTATTTAAATAGGCCAAAACACAGATTATTCAAACATTTAATTAATAGTCGTGGTCCCGAAGAGCTGGTAGCCTGGCCCTTGGGGCGGAAAGTGCTGCTGCCATCCGTCCACACAGCTCCTGTCCACACAGCTCCTGTCCACACAGCTCCTGTCCACACAGCTCCTGTCCACACAGCTCCTGTCCACGCAGCTCCTGTCCACGCAGCTCCTGTCCACACAGCTCCTGTCCACACTGCTCCTGTCCACGCAGCTCCTGTCCACACAGCTCCTGTCCACGCAGCTCCTGTCCACACAGCTCCTGTCCACACAGCTCCTGTCCACACAGCTCCTGTCCACACAGCTCCTGTCCACACAGCTCCTGTCCACACTGCTGATCAGGCTGGTGCTGCTGATGCTGGTGCTGCTGATGCTGGTCCTGCTCATCATCAGGCCCTGGCTCCTCTTCCACTGGCTCCCAGAGATCACCATCGCTGATGCAGATGTTGTGCAGGATGGCGCAACAGGCAGTCACCTGGACTGCAAAGGTGGGTTGGACTTCCAGTGCCTTGGAAAAAAATGGATCGCCATCTTGCCTTCATCATGTCAAACGCTCTTTCTGTTACAGATCGTGCCCGTGCATGGTGCCGGTTGAAGCGGGCTTCCACTGGGCTCCGAACAGGCTCTCTGTATGGAGGGAGGAGTGTGATGGGCTGACGGAGGCAAGGGTAGCCACCATCCCCAAGGAGGACGTGTCCATTTGGGGGATAGAGCCGGTGGACGTAGAGGGGGCTGTTTTTAAGCACTCGAGAATCGTGCACAGATCCGGGGTAGCCAACAAACAAATCAATAAATAAGCCACGGTGATTACACACAGCCTGCATTTGAATAGAATAAAACAATTTCCTGTTAAAATAACACTGTGCATGTGGGCGGCACGGTGGCTGAGTGGATAGCACTCTCGCCTCTCAGCAAGAAGGTCCTGGGTTCGAATCCCGGTTGGACCAGGGCCTTTCTGAGTGGAGTTTGCATGTTCTCCCCGTGTCTGCGTAGGTTTCCTCCGGGTCCTCCGGTTTCCCCTACCACTAAAAATATGTACAATAGGTCTGGCATGTGCCTCCTGTACTGGCGACCCCCACTCCCAAAAATAACAATTGTAAACCGCTTTGAGACTCCGATGTGCAGTGAAAAGGCGGTATATAAATAAAGATTACTACTATTACTGCATTCTCTTGAAGGGGCTTTATTCTAATGTGGCAGCCATCGATGCTCCCCACAACATTATTGAGAGCAGCTGATCCAGCCAGCAACTGAAACCCAGCTGCAACTTGGGGAAGTTCCTCCAGGGAAGGGAAATGAATTATTTGGCCACGCATTTGAAGGATCTGGTTGGCCACCCTGTGGATCACATCGTGGACTGTGGACTGGGGCATGTCAAATGCCCTGGCGACAACACGGTACGCGGTGCCACTGGCCAACCAAAAGAGGAAGACCAGAACCTCCATGTCCTGACTCCAGCCCTGGTGATGAGCACTCCTCAGGTGGCTAACCAGACGGGTGATGGTGGTTCGAGTGAGACGAAAATCGGGGCGAAGGTCAGACTGGCCATTTAAGTACATGCTGACTAGGGGTACATGGTGGTTCAGTCGGCAGTACACCCTAAAACAAAACAAAAATTCTCTTAAACTTAATATGATACTTCTAGATTCATTTTTTAATTCTGTATCTGCACTTTTAGTTATGAGTGCAGACACAGGAATAAGTACTCATTTTTCATTTTGAGATTTAAAAATGTAAATAAAAATGAAGAGTATATAGCTGAAGTCATGTTCTTTTGTGCCCTGGCATTGATTTTGCCAAATGTATTGTGTGTTGCAGGGAGCTGGAGCTGCCCTGAGACAACTGAAGTAGAAACCCTCACTACATCACTCGCACCTAATAACACACACAAAAATCACAGAAGCCCTGTGCCCCATGGCCAAGCAAATTCTATTATTGTTTAATGATTAAGTACTCATTTTTCATTTAGAAAAAAATGAGTACTTAATCCATTTCCCTTGCTATGGTTTTGTGTTCTTTCAACCAATAAAATATTTTAATGTTCTTGCATTTTAAGTGAGTGTGTCTATACAATGTGTTTTCTTGTTGAAATATGTCTAAATGTATATGACTAATGTGTTTCTCATTGACTGAGAATAGTATTTTTAATTAGTGAGTACACCAAAAGTACTATAATTTACCCAGTAGATGGTGCTAATGCTATATAGACAAAGGACGAATACAATACTTACACGACGCCTTGCTAATGAACGAAGAGCCATTCTCCTCCTCCGCCTCATCGCCTGTCTTCGCCTTCTCTCTGTTCGGCGGTTTTTAATTCGCATTATGAGAAGTTTTATAATTGTTAACAAAAACACCGCAAAATTCAGTGGAGGTGCCATTTCACCAGTGTTAGAGGAGCCGGTCAGGTGGCGGGAATATGAAAGACGTTAAGCGAATAAGTCAACCAAAATTCATAAATATGAATATAAATTGTAAAAACATTTTATACATGTATATTAGACAAATATTGATATTTTAATATACTTTTATTTATGTATAAAATTATATCGATCCAATGACATGTGACAGGGGTGTGATGTGGGCCGCGGCTAAAAATAGTGTGCAGCTGTCCGAATCGCCAACAGAATGAGTGCACTGACTCACTCACTCAGTCGCTATATAGTCCCGAACTATATAGTGAGTGAGTGGATAGGGTATAGTGTGGACATTCTGATACAGCCCATGTGACTCTGAGGTCATGTGACTCTGAGGTCATGTGACTCTGAGGTCATGTGACTCTGAGGTCATGTGACTCTGAGGTCATGTGACTGAGGTCATGTGACTCTGAGGTCATGTGACTGAGGCCATGTGACTCTGAGGTCATGTGACTCTGAGGTCATGTGACTCTGAGGTCATGTGACTGAGGTCATGTGACTCTGAGGTCATGTGACTGAGGCCATGTGACTGAGGTCATGTGACTCTGAGGTCATGTGACTGAGGCCATGTGACTGAGGTCATGTGACTCTGAGGTCATGTGACTCTGAGGTCATGTGACTGATGCCATGTGACTCTGAGGTCATGTGACTGAGGCCATGTGACTGAGGTCATGTGACTCTGAGGTCATGTGACTGAGGTCATGTGACTGAGGTCATGTGACTGAGGTCATATGACTGAGGTCATGTGACTGAGGTCATGTGACTCTGAGGTCATGTGACTGAGGTCATGTGACTCTGAGGTCATGTGACTGAGGTCATGTGACTCTGAGGTCATGTGACTCTGAGGTCATGTGACTCTGAGGTCATGTGACTCTGAGGTCATGTGACTCACAAAGTGCTGGTGCAGGTCGCGGGACACGCCCGACACTCGCGCCGAGTGCTGGATGACGCGGTCGAACAGATTGGCCAAGGATCCGACCGCGGCTGCTCCACAGCTCTGCTCCGTGCTGCAGAGAGGAGAGGAGGCCACCGGGGGCGCCAGAGAGCACAGCAGGATCCACACCGCCCCCACTGCAACACACAACCATAGACTGTAAATATCTCTGCTGTTGAAACTCATGTGACATCACTTTTGCCGTCAATGGGATTTTTCAAAATGGCCGCAGGCAGCCCCTCCCTCAGGAAAATGTGAAAAAACACATTTGTGCTTCAGCTGCAGCAGCTCCATTCTTTTAATGAGTGCATTCTGAAGTCCACAGCGACCAAACTAGACCGGTCCAAACATACACTCCCCTCAGACAGCATCTGGAACCAAGAGGACCAAGAACCACTTTAGGACCAAGAACCACTTTGGACCAAGAGCTACTTTTGGACTAAGAACCACTTTGGACCAAGAACCACTTTGGACCAAGAACCACTTTAGGACCAAGAACCACTTTAGGACCGAGAACCACTTTAGGACCAAGAGCTACTTTTGGACCAAGAACCACTTTGGACCAAGAACCACTTTGGACCAAGAACCACTTTAGGACCAAGAACCACTTTGGACCAAGAACCACTTTGGACCAAGAACCACTTTGGACCAAGAACCACTTTGGACCAAGAACCACTTTGGACCAAGAACCACTTTAGGACCAAGAACCACTTTGGACCAAGAACCACTTTGGACCAAGAACCACTTTGGACCAAGAACCACTTTGGACCAAGAACCACTTTGGACCAAGAACCACTTTGGACCAAGAACCACTTTAGGACCAAGAACCACTTTAGGACCAAGAACCACTTTGGACCAAGAACCACGTCTTATTAACTGCACTGTGACAAGTCTTCATCTTATGACCACAACTTCATCCCTTCTATGACCTCTCACCTCTTTCTTTATCTGGTACAAATGTCTCCCAGTGACCCCTGTCTCCCAGTGACCCCTGTATCCCAGTGACCCCTTTCTCCCAGTGACCCCTGTCTCCCAGTGACCCCTGTATCCCAGTGACACCTGTCTCCCAGTGACCCCTGTATCCCAGTGACCCCTGTCTCCCAGTGACCCCTGTATTCCAGTGACCCCTGTATCCCAGTGACCCCTGTCTCCCAGTGACCCCTGTATTCCAGTGACACCTGTATCCCAGTGACCCCTGTCTCCCAGTGACCCCTGTATCCCAGTGACCCCTGTATCCCAGTGACCCCTGTCTCCCAGTGACCCCTGTATCCCAGTGACCCCTGTCTCCCAGTGACCCCTGTATCCCAGTGACGCCTGTCTCCCAGTGACCCCTGTATTCCAGTGACCCCTGTATCCCAGTGACCCCTGTCTCCCAGTGACCCCAGTATCCCAGTGACTCCTTTCTCCCAGTGACCCCTGTCTCCCAGTGACCCCTGTATCCCAGTGACCCCTGTATCCCAGTGACCCCTGTCTCCCAGTGACCCCTGTCTCCCAGTGACCCCTGTCTCCCAGTGACCCCTGTATCCCAGTGACCCCTGTATCCCAGTGACCCCTGTCTCCCAGTGACCCCTGTATCCCAGTGACCCCTGTCTCCCAGTGACCCCTGTCTCCCAGTGACCCCTGTCTCCCAGTGACCCCTGTATCCCAGTGACCCCTGTATCCCAGTGACCCCTGTCTCCCAGTGACCCCTGTCTCCCAGTGACCCCTGTATCCCAGTGACCCCTGTCTCCCAGTGACCCCTGTCTCCCAGTGACCCCTGTCTCCCAGTGACCCCTGTATCCCAGTGACCCCTTTCTCCCAGTGACCCCTGTATTCCAGTGACCCCTGTATCCCAGTGACACCTGTCTCCCAGTGACCCCTGTATCCCAGTGACCCCTGTCTCCCAGTGACCCCTGTATTCCAGTGACCCCTGTATCCCAGTGACCCCTGTCTCCCAGTGACCCCTGTATTCCAGTGACACCTGTATCCCAGTGACCCCTGTCTCCCAGTGACCCCTGTATCCCAGTGACCCCTGTATCCCAGTGACCCCTGTCTCCCAGTGACCCCTGTATCCCAGTGACCCCTGTCTCCCAGTGACCCCTGTATCCCAGTGACGCCTGTCTCCCAGTGACCCCTGTATTCCAGTGACCCCTGTATCCCAGTGACCCCTGTCTCCCAGTGACCCCAGTATCCCAGTGACTCCTTTCTCCCAGTGACCCCTGTCTCCCAGTGACCCCTGTATCCCAGTGACCCCTGTATCCCAGTGACCCCTGTCTCCCAGTGACCCCTGTCTCCCAGTGACCCCTGTCTCCCAGTGACCCCTGTATCCCAGTGACCCCTGTATCCCAGTGACCCCTGTCTCCCAGTGACCCCTGTATCCCAGTGACCCCTGTCTCCCAGTGACCCCTGTCTCCCAGTGACCCCTGTCTCCCAGTGACCCCTGTATCCCAGTGACCCCTGTATCCCAGTGACCCCTGTCTCCCAGTGACCCCTGTCTCCCAGTGACCCCTGTATCCCAGTGACCCCTGTCTCCCAGTGACCCCTGTATCCCAGTGACCCCTGTATTCCAGTGACCCCTGTATCCCAGTGACCCCTGTATCCCAGTGACCCCTGTCTCCCAGTGACCCCTGTATCCCAGTGACCCCTGTCTCCCAGTGACCCCTGTCTCCCAGTGACCCCTGTCTCCCAGTGACCCCTGTATCCCAGTGACCCCTGTATCCCAGTGACCCCTGTCTCCCAGTGACCCCTGTATCCCAGTGACCCCTGTCTCCCAGTGACCCCTGTCTCCCAGTGACCCCTGTCTCCCAGTGACCCCTGTATTCCAGTGACCCCTGTATCCCAGTGACCCCTGTCTCCCAGTGACCCCTGTCTCCCAGTGACCCCTGTATCTCAGTGACCCCTGTCTCCCAGTGACCCCTGTATCCCAGTGACCCCTGTCTCCCAGTGACCCCTGTATTCCAGTGACCCCTGTATCCCAGTGACCCCAGTATCCCAGTGACTCCTTTCTCCCAGTGACCCCTGTCTCCCAGTGACCCCTGTATCCCAGTGACCCCTGTATCCCAGTGACCCCTGTCTCCCAGTGACCCCTGTCTCCCAGTGACCCCTGTCTCCCAGTGACCCCTGTATCCCAGTGACCCCTGTATCCCAGTGACCCCTGTCTCCCAGTGACCCCTGTATCCCAGTGACCCCTGTCTCCCAGTGACCCCTGTCTCCCAGTGACCCCTGTATCCCAGTGACCCCTGTATCCCAGTGACCCCTGTCTCCCAGTGACCCCTGTCTCCCAGTGACCCCTGTATCCCAGTGACCCCTGTCTCCCAGTGACCCCTGTATTCCAGTGACCCCTGTATCCCAGTGACCCCTGTATCCCAGTGACCCCTGTCTCCCAGTGACCCCTGTATCCCAGTGACCCCTGTCTCCCAGTGACCCCTGTCTCCCAGTGACCCCTGTCTCCCAGTGACCCCTGTATCCCAGTGACCCCTGTATCCCAGTGACCCCTGTCTCCCAGTGACCCCTGTATCCCAGTGACCCCTGTCTCCCAGTGACCCCTGTCTCCCAGTGACCCCTGTCTCCCAGTGACCCCTGTATCCCAGTGACCCCTGTCTCCCAGTGACCCCTGTCTCCCAGTGACCCCTGTATCTCAGTGACCCCTGTCTCCCAGTGACCCCTGTATCCCAGTGACCCCTGTATCCCAGTGACCCCTGTATCCCAGTGACCCCTGTATCCCAGTGACCCCTGTCTCCCAGTGACCCCTGTATCTCAGTGACCCCTGTCTCCCAGTGACCCCTGTCTCCCAGTGACCCCTGTATCCCAGTGACCCCTGTATCCCAGTGACCCCTGTATCCCAGTGACCCCTGTCTCCCAGTGACCCCTGTCTCCCAGTGACCCCTGTCTCCCAGTGACCCCTGTATCCCAGTGACCCCTGTATCCCAGTGACCCCTGTATCCCAGTGACCCCTGTATCCCAGTGACCCCTGTCTCCCAGTGACCCCTGTATCTCAGTGACCCCTGTCTCCCAGTGACCCCTGTCTCCCAGTGACCCCTGTATCCCAGTGACCCCTGTATCCCAGTGACCCCTGTATCCCAGTGACCCCTGTCTCCCAGTGACCCCTGTCTCCCAGTGACCCCTGTCTCCCAGTGACCCCTGTATCCCAGTGACCCCTGTCTCCCAGTGACCCCTGTCTCCCAGTGACCCCTGTCTCCCAGTGTCTCTGCCACTCCAGAGCCACCTGCCTCCGCACCACACTCTGTGCTTCAGATCTGCTGCTTTCCACTGTCTGCTCCACACTGTTCTTTCCACCGTCTGCTCAACACTGTTCTTTCCACTGTCTGCTCCACACTGTTCTTTCCACTGTCTGCTCCACACTGTTCTTTCCACCGTCTGCTCAACACTGTTCTTTCCACCGTCTGCTCAACACTGTTCTTTCCACTGTCTGTTCCACACTGTTCTTTCCACTGTCTGCTCAACACTGTTCTTTCCACTGTCTGTTCCACACTGTTCTTTCCACTGTCTGCTCAACACTGTTCTTTCCACTGTCTGCTCCACACTGTTCTTTCCACCGTCTGCTCAACACTGTTCTTTCCACTGTCTGTTCCACACTGTTCTTTCCACTGTCTGCTCAACACTGTTCTTTCCACTGTCTGTTCAACACTGTTCTTTCCACTGTCTGCTCAACACTGTTCTTTCCACTGTCTGTTCCACACTGTTCTTTCCACCGTCTGTTCCACACTGTTCTTTCCACTGTCTGCTCAACACTGTTCTTTCCACTGTCTGTTCCACACTGTTCTTTCCACCGTCTGTTCCACACTGTTCTTTCCACTGTCTGTTCCACACTGTTCTTTCCACTGTCTGCTCCCACTGTTCTTTCCACTGTCTGCTCCACACTGTTCTTTCCACTGTCTCCACACTGTTCTTTCCACTGTCTGCTCCACACTGTTCTTTCCACTGTCTGCTCCACACTGTTCTTTCCACTGTCTGCTCAACACTGTTCTTTCCACTGTCTGCTCCACACTGTTCTTTCCACTGTCTGCTCAACACTGTTCTTTCCACTGTCTGCTCACACTGTTCTTTCCACTGTCTGCTCCACACTGTTCTTTCCACTGTCTGCTCAACACTGTTCTTTCCACCGTCTGCTCCACACTGTTCTTTCCACCGTCTGCTCAACACTGTTCTTTCCACTGTCTGCTCCACACTGTTCTTTCCACTGTCTGTTCCACACTGTTCTTTCCACTGTCTGTTCCACACTGTTCTTTCCACTGTCTGCTCAACACTGTTCTTTCCACTGTCTGCTCCACTCACTGTTCTTTCCACCGTCTGCTCAACACTGTTCTTTCCACTGTCTGTTCCACACTGTTCTTTCCACTGTCTGCTCAACACTGTTCTTTCCACTGTTCTTTCTGTTCAACACTGTTCTTTCCACTGTCTGCTCAACACTGTTCTTTCCACTGTCTGTTCCACACGTTGTTTCACACTGTTCTTTCCACTGTCTGTTCAACTCACTGTTCTTTCCCACTGTCCTGTTCCACACTGTTCTTTCCACAGTCTGCTCAACACTGTTCTTTCCACTGTCTGTTCCACACTGTTCTTTCCACTGTCTGCTCAACACTGTTCTTTCCACTGTCTGCTCAACACTGTTCTTTCCACTGTCTGCTCAACACTGTTCTTTCCACTGTCTGTTCCACACTGTTCTTTCCACTGTCTGCTCAACACTGTTCTTTCCACTGTCTGCTCCACACTGTTCTTTCCACCGTCTGCTCAACACTGTTCTTTCCACTGTCTGCTCCACACTGTTCTTTCCACAGTCTGTCAACACTGTTCTTTCCACTGTCTGTTCCACACTGTTCTTTCCACTGTCTGCTCCAACACTGTTCTTTCCACTGTCTGCTCAACACTGTTCTTTCCACTGTCTGCTCCACACTGTTCTTTCCACTGTCTGCTCAACACTGTTCTTTCCACTGTCTGCTCCACACTGTTCTTTCCACTGTCTGCTCAACACTGTTCTTTCCACTGTCTGCTCCACACTGTTCTTTCCACCGTCTGCTCAACACTGTTCTTTCCACTGTCTGTTCCACACTGTTCTTTCCACTGTCTGCTCAACACTGTTCTTTCCACTGTCTGTTCAACACTGTTCTTTCCACTGTCTGTTCCACACTGTTCTTTCCACTGTCTGCTCAACACTGTTCTTTCCACTGTCTGTTCCACACTGTTCTTTCCACTGTCTGTTCCACACTGTTCTTTCCACTGTCTGCTCAACACTGTTCTTTCCACTGTCTGCTCCACACTGTTCTTTCCACCGTCTGTTCCACACTGTTCTTTCCACTGTCTGTTCAACACTGTTCTTTCCACTGTCTGCTCCACACTGTTCTTTCCACTGTCTGCTCAACACTGTTCTTTCCACTGTCTGTTCCACACTGTTCTTTCCACTGTCTGCTCAACACTGTTCTTTCCACTGTCTGTTCCACACTGTTCTTTCCACTGTCTGCTCCACACTGTTCTTTCCACTGTCTGCTCAACACTGTTCTTTCCACTGTCTGCTCCACACTGTTCTTTCCACCGTCTGCTCAACACTGTTCTTTCCACTGTCTGCTCAACACTGTTCTTTCCACTGTCTGCTCCACACTGTTCTTTCCACCGTCTGCTCAACACTGTTCTTTCCACTGTCTGCTCCACACTGTTCTTTCCACTGTCTGTTCCACACTGTTTTTTCCACCGTCTGTTCCACACTGTTCTTTCCACTGTCTGCTCAACACTGTTCTTTCCACTGTCTGCTCAACACTGTTCTTTCCACCGTCTGTTCCACACTGTTCTTTCCACTGTCTGTTCAACACTGTTCTTTCCACTGTCTGCTCAACACTGTTCTTTCCACTGTCTGCTCAACACTGTTCTTTCCACTGTCTGTTCCACACTGTTCTTTCCACTGTCTGCTCAACACTGTTCTTTCCACTGTCTGTTCCACACTGTTCTTTCCACTGTCTGCTCCACACTGTTCTTTCCACTGTCTGCTCAACACTGTTCTTTCCACTGTCTGCTCCACACTGTTCTTTCCACTGTCTGCTCAACACTGTTCTTTCCACTGTCTGCTCCACACTGTTCTTTCCACCGTCTGCTCAACACTGTTCTTTCCACTGTCTGTTCCACACTGTTCTTTCCACCGTCTGTTCCACACTGTTCTTTCCACTGTCTGCTCAACACTGTTCTTTCCACTGTCTGTTCAACACTGTTCTTTCCACTGTCTGCTCAACACTGTTCTTTCCACTGTCTGTTCCACACTGTTCTTTCCACTGTCTGCTCAACACTGTTCTTTCCACTGTCTGTTCAACACTGTTCTTTCCACTGTCTGCTCAACACTGTTCTTTCCACTGTCTGCTCAACACTGTTCTTTCCACTGTCTGTTCCACACTGTTCTTTCCACTGTCTGCTCAACACTGTTCTTTCCACTGTCTGTTCCACACTGTTCTTTCCACTGTCTGTTCCACACTGTTCTTTCCACTGTCTGCTCAACACTGTTCTTTCCACTGTCTGCTCCACACTGTTCTTTCCACTGTCTGCTCAACACTGTTCTTTCCACTGTCTGCTCCACACTGTTCTTTCCACCGTCTGCTCAACACTGTTCTTTCCACTGTCTGTTCCACACTGTTCTTTCCACTGTCTGTTCCACACTGTTCTTTCCACTGTCTGCTCAACACTGTTCTTTCCACTGTCTGTTCCACACTGTTCTTTCCACTGTCTGCTCAACACTGTTCTTTCCACTGTCTGTTCCACACTGTTCTTTCCACCGTCTGCTCAACACTGTTCTTTCCACCGTCTGCTCAACACTGTTCTTTCCACTGTCTGCTCAACACTGTTCTTTCCACCGTCTGTTCCACACTGTTCTTTCCACTGTCTGTTCCACACTGTTCTTTCCACTGTCTGCTCCACACTGTTCTTTCCACTGTCTGTTCCACACTGTTCTTTCCACTGTCTGCTCAACACTGTTCTTTCCACTGTCTGCTCCACACTGTTCTTTCCACTGTCTGCTCAACACTGTTCTTTCCAGTGGGGCGGCTGTGAAGTACCAAACTGTGGTTGTGTCCTCAGGCAAGACACTTCACCCCCATTGCCTAGAATGAGTCTGGTGTGTGTGTGAGTGGTTGGTGGTGGTGGGAGGGGCTGATGGCACAGACTGGTTGCCTCACTTCTGTCAGTGTGCCCCAGGGCAGCTGTGGCTACAGTAGTTTATCACCACCGTGTTTGGAGAGAGAGGATAATGATGTGAAGTGTCTTTGAGAGTCCAGAAAAGCGCTTTATAAAACTTATGCATTATTATTATTATTAGTTTCTCAGCGCTCCCTGAGGCCTTCTATCTGCTGCTCGTGTCCAGGATCAGGGCCCAGGCACCCACAGGAACTCCTTGCAGTTGAATTCTGGAAACTGTCATTAGTATATTGCACAAAATGTCCTGACTAGTGCTAGAGTTAATCGACTGGATACTGGAGAGGACTGAAGCTGAATCTGAACAGACCAAGACCCTGTTCTGCTTGGTCAGCTCTACCCACAGTCTGCTGAAGACACATCTGTCGAAACGTTACCTATAGAACACAGACTTTGAAAAAACCTTAAGAAAAAATTAATTAATTTAAACAAAACAAGCATTCAACCATGAGGCAAGGCTGGCCTGGGTACAATCAACGACCCAGGACCTCCGAGCATGAGTGGAGGGCCAGCGCCTACTCTCTCGCCCGGGAGAGATTCACCCACAACGCCACCGATAGCACCACAATCTCCTCTGTGTACACTGCACACGCTCAAACCAACAGATGCTCGTCTGTTCATATTAATGCTCTTGTCTGGGACTGAAACACCTGTCACTCCTGTCTCTGGATCTTTAGTGCCATCTGTAAATACATGAACATTTTCTGAATCCCTAACCCTAACTCCTCAACACGATGAAACAAGGCTTTAACAATATGCCGGCTTGTTGATGAACGCACAGAGAGGCGTGAGAGTTCACAGTTCACACCGTAGAACTAGCAACAAAACACAAAATGGTACAACTTAGATATTAAATAAATAATAAACAAAATATGAATGAATACACAATCATACACACCACTTTGGCCTACTACTAAGTAGTACTAGAATTTAATATGCTGCTATCCAGAATATATAACTACAAAACTAAATATGTGTTTATAATGTTTCGGGTGTTCATTTTGACATGTTCAGATGAATTATGTTAAAAAAACGGCTTTCAAGTGGCACCTTTTAACAAACTTAGGAGGCAAAGGAGAATAGGAGAAGGACCTCTCACAGCAGCAGCAGCAGTCTGGGCTGAATCTGTAGGAGGTTTCACTGTCATCTGAACAAGGTATACACATATTTACATCAGTTTTGTACATAATAGTGTGCAACTCTTTTAACCTTTTAGCCTTATTTGTGAGATTCAAACTAATTAGTGTTGGCCAAGTTAGCTAACTCTACTTGATATCATAAAACATGCTAACAAGGCTAATATTAGTTTTTACATTATGCCAGTCTCACTTTGGTTTCCTTAGATTTATTTACCACAATGTACATTGTAATATCCATAAATGCTAATCAAAATAACTTGAATTAAATAAATATTTTACTTTTATGAACAAAAAGCTGCAGAAGTTGAAAACATAGACTACATGTGATGCAATCATTGATAAAAATGCTAATTAAACCGTTAATAGGTGTTAGCATTTATGGACTTGTTTGGACTTGTGCATTTATAGCTTGTTCAGATGACAGTGAAACCTCCTACAGATTCAGCCCAGACTGCTGCTGCTGCTGTGAGAGGTCCTTCTCCTACGTCATCGCCGACATTTTGGCGCCCCCTAGCGTTTGTTAAAAGGTGCCACTTCAAAGCCGTTTTTTAACATAATTCATCTGAACATGTCAAAATGAACACCCGAAATATTATAAACACATATTGTAGTTATATATTCTGGATAGCAGCATATTAAATTCTAGTACTACTTTAGCTTGACTTGATCTCAAAAGGCATAAAACTATACATTTGAAATATTAATCTACATTAATTTTTATCTTTCCTCAAACTTATTCAATACTGATCTAATAGTCAGAACACAAATATAAAAATATACAAAAATAAAATAACACTTTTGCGATGATAAAATGCACACTAGCGCCGCCTTGTGACGAAACAAAAACTGTATCATAAACAGTTACAAACAAGATCAACTTCTCCTTTATCTTCAGTAAAAACCAGTCAACACCAGGACAGACTAACTTCCACGGAGGCAGCTCTGGGAACACTAAGGCTGCACTAATCCACAGGTTCAAGACACTGCACTCCAACTGGCCTGTCCCATACTCCCAGCGTTCCCTGAGCACCGGTTTGGTGGGATGGGACTCGCCATGGCTCTCCAGATGTAACCAGTAATTTACCATAATCTGTTTTCTTCTCAAATCCAGCGGCACTTCTCCCATTTCCACTGGCAGGCATTTAAAGAGGTATTAAACGCACCACAGCACACTCTCCAGGCTTGGGCTTTATTACGTCCAGCCTCTTCAGCACAGATGGAGCTGCTGACCCATAAGCCTTCAATTCTATCAACATGATCTCTCCAAGTCAAATGAGAGTCAAAAATAACACCCAAAAACTTCAATGAGCGTACTTTCTCAATTTCCTCTCCATAGAGCCGTATTTTTAAAACTCGTTTCCAGGTAAAAAAGACCGTTTTAGTATTTTAAACTGAGAATCCAACCCCCGGTACATCCCCACTCCATCACACAGTCGACAGCATCTTGTATCTCGCCGACAAGATATTCAGTGTTTCTCCCTCTGCACCATAACGCCATCCTCTGCCCACCGTAACCTGCCAACACCGCCGGGCGCTGCCAACACTGCCGGGCGCTGCCAACACTGCCGGGCGCTGCCAACACTGCCGGGCGCTGCCAACACTGCCGGGCGCTGCCAACACTGCCGGGCGCTGCCAACACTGCCGGGCGCTGCCAACACTGCCGGGCGCTGCACAGAACACTGATCATGACGATAAAAAGAAAAGGACTTACTGCACTGCCTTGAGGAGTTCCATTGTCCGCTGTTTACTGGTTAGAATACGTTGATACAATTCACACCTGGATCTTCCGTCCAAAAAGAAAATCCCTGATCCAGTTAAAGGCCAACCTTAAGCCCATACAGTTTGATCAAGACCCGTCCTTCCACATCATGTCAAACGCTTTCTCTTTATCAAAAAACACAGCTACAACAGACTCTTTGTTAACCTTCTCAAGTCTGACAACCTCATCATTGCTGGAAAACCACTCTGAAAACCAACCAATGCTTCTCTTTTCTCCAGCTCATATGAAAACCACTCTACAATCACACGTTCCATAATTTTACATGATGTTCGATGTAAAGGCAGTTGG